CCCCCCACCTTTCTTCAGCGTGGTGTGTGCTCCATCCGACACAGCACGTTCTTGGCCTTCTCGGCGTCCCTGGCGGCGGCGCCCAAGAGGAACACGGTGAGCGAGGGCGCCTTGGGCTTCTTGCTGATGTTGATGATCTCCTTGAGACGCGGCACGCCCAGGGTCACGTTCTTGGAGGAGACGCCGGCGAAGTGGAAGGTGTTGAGGGTCATCTGGGTGGCCGGCTCGCCCAGGGATTGGGCTGCGAGGGCGCCCACCATCTCGCCCGGGGAAGCCTGGGGGGGGAGAGGGGGGTTGAGAATGAGATGGATGGATGGATGGATGCAGGGAAGATAGATAGAAAAATAGAGAGAAAAGAAAAGAGAGAGGAGAAATTGAAGGAATGAGAGAAAATGAGAGAATGAGAGAGAGAGAGAGAGAGAGAGAGAGAGAGAGAGAGAGAGAGAGAGAGAGAGAGAGAGAGAGAGAGAGAGAGACGAGAGAGAGAGAAGAGAGGAGAGAGGAGGAGAGAGAGAAGGAGGAGGAGAGAGAGGAGAGGGGAAAAGAGAGATAGAGAGAAAATATAAAGAGAGAAAGAGATTGATTAGAAGATAAAATAGAGGAGAGGAGAGGTTTTGATTAATAGCTTTTGCAGTAACCAAAAAAAACTGCATTTTTCCTTCCACAGTCATTTATCTTCCTTTGTAATAACAATAGCAACTGTTACGCTGTCGTAATAACTCGAAACTACCTTGTTTTCTCCAAACAACAGACTTTACACATTTAGGACCAATTACCACTTCTTTTCTCTAAGTTTTTACTGTAATGACATATTCAAAACGAGATTCAATATTTACTAATGAATAAAGACTTGAACATACCTTCATATCGGTGTCCTGATGAACGCTGCGAGTTTTGTGAGTGAGTTAGAAAGAAAAAAAATGAAACACGAAATGCACACAGTAAGTATATTTAGGGATTGCAGAATATATTGTCACGCGAAGATGACGAAAGAGAAAAGGGAGAGGAGAGAGGAGGAGGGAGAGAGAGGGAAGAGAGGGAGAGAGAGAGAAGGAGAGGGAGGAGGGAGGGAGGGAGGGGGGAGGAAGGGAGGGAGGGAGGGAGGGAGAGGAGGGAGGAGGAGGGAGGGAGAGGAGAGAGGGAGAGAGGGGAGAGAGGGAGAGAGGAGAGAGAGAGGAGAGAGAGAGAGAAGAGAGAGAGAGAGAGAGAGAGAGAGAGAGAGAGAAGAGAGAGAGAGAGAGAGAGAGAAAGAAAGAGAGCGGAGAGAGGGAGAGAAAAGGAGAGAGAAAGAGAAGAGAGAGAGAGAGAGAGAGAGAGAGAGAGAGAGAGAGAGAGGCAGAGACAGAAGAGAGAGAGAGAGAGAAAGAGACAAGGATATAAAACAGACAGAAAGCCAAACAGACAAAGACAGCCAGAGCCCAAAAGGGAACCCAAAAGAGGCACACCCCAAAGAGCAGAAGACACCCCCCTCCCCCCCGCCCCCGCCCATGAAGCCAGCCCGCGGCCTCACTCACGAGCGCCTGGTTGAACCGTCTCGAATCTCGCCGACGAGCCAGTTAAACGCCTCGACCGTCAGCCTGTACTCCTCCGCCACCTTCTTCGTGCACAAGGTCGACCTCACGAGACACTGGAACAGCAGCGTGGCGTTCTCGTTCGCCTGTCGACTGATGCGGTCGTTCCCGCTGACGACGATGCACCTGTCGAGCATCCTCCTGACGCCGTCGACGACCCGCACCGGCGAGAGGTCCGTCTGAGTGCGCTTGTTGATGTGGAAGATCTTCTGCACGTTCCAGATCATGCGGTCCAGGTTGCACGGGAGGACCACCTGGGGAGAGGGGGGAGGGGGGAGGGGGAGAGAAAGGAGGGGGGGGGGTAATTATCGACCAGTATTGGAATGTTTCGTTTTTGGTTATGATGAGATACCGATGGGAATGAACGAGTTGGGCGAGAGTGGAATTACCGAGACTATTTATGGTATAATTGGATAGAAAGTATGAATTCAACCCCCGCATATATGTATTTTTTTGACGGCAGCTCTCTACCTTGGAGTCGCCCTTCGGGAACACCTGCCGAAGGATCTGGCGGTCCTCCTGCAGCCTCTGCCACTCGGTCTCGAGGCTGGTGATGGCGTCGGGCGCGCCGAGGACGTCCCTGACCACCTCCTCCGTGAACAGCTTCCGGAGGTACCTCTCGTTGGAGATGTCGAAGCGGTAGCGGTCCTCGAAGCGCCGCGTCGACAGCTTGATGGTGGGCAGGTTCTGGAACTCGACGAACTCGCCGGCGAGGCCGTCCTCGCCGTAGCGGAGCTGGATGACCTGGCTGACGCTGTTCCTGACGGTGCCGTCGTAGTTGACCATCACGCTCTCCATGGCCTTGATCAGGCGCCGCTGGATGTAGCCCGTCTCGGCGGTCTTGACGGCCGTGTCGATGAGGCCCTCGCGGCCGCCCATGGCGTGGAAGTAGAACTCGGAGGGCGTGAGGCCGGCCAGGTACGAGTTCTCGACGAAGCCCCTGGACTCGGGCCCGTAGTCGTCCTTGATGAAGTGCGGCAGCGTCCGCTTGCGGAAGCCGAAGGGGATGCGCTTGCCCTCGACGTTCTGCTGGCCCACGCACGCGATCACCTGCGAGATGTTGATGTTGGAGCCCTTGGAGCCCGCCACCACCATGGCCTTCAGGTTGTTGTACTCCGTGAGGGACTTCTTGGCCGAGCCGCCCGTCTTGTCTCGGGCGTCGTTGAGGATGCGGTTCACCTGGTTCTCGAACGTCTGGCGGAGCGTGTTGCCGGGCGTGGGCTCGAGCTCGTCGTTGTGCGCCTTGTGGATCACCTCGATCACGTCCTCCTTGGCCTTCTTGATGGTGTTCTGGATCACGCGGTACGTGTTCGGGTCCGAGATGGTGTCGCCGATGCCGATGCTGTGGCCCTCCAGCAGCAGCCAGTTGTTCACCACCGTCTGGATGTTGCCGTAGAAGCGGCCGGCGATCTCGTGGCCCAGCTCCATCCACGCCAGGTGCATCATGGACCCCGACGACGCGCCCAGGGTCTTCTTGCACAGGATGCCCATGATCAGCTCGCGCGTGCTCCCCAGGACCTGCCGGGGGGTGGGGGCGTGGAGGGGGGGGGAGGGGGAGGGGAGGCGGGAGGTGGGGGAGGGGAGAGGTAGAGGGGAAGGGGAGGTGGTAGGGGGAAGGGGGGGGAGGAGGGGGAGGGAGGAAGGGAGAGGGGGAGGGAGGTGGGGAGGGGGAGGTGGGGGAGGTGTGAGGGGAGGAGGATGGTGGAGGGGAAGGGGGGAGGAGGGGGAGGCGGAGTGGGTGGAGGGGAAGGGAGGAGAGGATGGGGGAGGGGTGGTGGGAAGGGGAAGAGGGAAGGGGGAGGTAGGAGTGCAGGTGGAGATGGAGATGAAGGTAGAAGTGGTAGAGGTGGGGTATTGGTGGCGATGGAAGAGGAAGAGAACGACGAAGAGGACCAGGAGGCGAAGACGGAGATGAAAAGACGATGATAAAAATACCGCAGAAGATACCATATCACAAAGCAACACAACCATCGAATAAACCAATATACAACAAACAACCAAACCAAGAATGAAAATAAAAATAAAAATCCTGTATAAAAAAGAAAAACAAAGAGAGAAACAAAGAAAGAAAGAAAATTTCCACAAACCTTAGTGTCCCCCGGTGAAATCCACTTATACGGCCCGTCATCCTCGTCGTCCGGATGCGTGGCGTGGGTCTTGACTACATTAATATTACCGGGAATGATGAGGGAGAAGAGCTGCTTCCCGGTCCAGAGGGGTTTGGGCTTGAGGATGGCCGGGTGGGGCATCCTTCCGTCCCAGATTGGAAGGAACATGAGCAAGTCCATCATCTCCGACTGGTTTCGATTACAGAAAACGGAGATTTGCGTGTGAGAGAAAATGTGAAGTTTTGTGTATTTTTGGAGGGGTGACTTGGGTAATTCTTCCTACTTTTTTTTCTTTTTAGAATATTCGACTGTTTCCCAAATTTTTTTTCTTAGCCTGGGCTAGCGACCCCAAATATGTGAACGTAGTAATATATCCAACCATTTTCATGGTAGGACTACTACTGTATTAATTAAGCTATTCTATACTTTTTATAAGTTTATATTAGCAACACACTGAATTTCAAAAAACAAAAAGCATTAACTTTTACTGACATATCCATCCATCCCCACAAACCCTCCCACTCCCTCCCCATCCCCCTCCTCTCCCCACCCTCCCCCTCCCTCTCCCACTCCCTCCCACTCCCATCCCCCACCCCTCCCCCCCCCCCTCCCCCCAAAAAAAACCCCTCCCTCTCACCTTCTCCAAGAAGACGTCCCTCTTGGTCATCTTCCGCACGGCCGTGAGGGTGTCCTGCACGATCCCCATCACCGGGCGGTTCGACTGCGGCGTGACGACCATCCGAGGCGTCAGATGCAGGTTCTCGATCTCGGCTCGCGTTTCCATGCTCTGGGGGACGTGGAGGTTCATCTCGTCGCCGTCGAAATCGGCGTTGTAAGGGGACGTCACCGAGAGGTTCATGCGGAAGGTCGACCAAGGGAGGACCTGCGTGGGCGTCGATCGGGTAATGGTTGTTTGAGGTTGGGATGAGGGTGGTGATGGATATATGATATAATGATAATAATGATAATAATGAATAATAAAGATATGATGATAATAATAATAATAATGATAAAGATGATAATAATGATAACAATAATGATGGTAATAATAATAGTAATAATAATAATGATAATGATAATAATAATAATAATGATAATAATGATAATGATGATAACAATAATGATAATAATTAAAATAATATGATAATGAATAATGATGATATAATAATGTAATAATAATAATGATAATGATAATAATAATAATAATGATAATAATGATAATGATGATAACAATAATGAGATAATAAAATGATAATAATAATAATGATGATGGTAATGATAATTTTTATCATAATTGTAGTAATAACAATGATAATAATGATGATGAGAATACTATCTGTGATGACGATGATACTGATAGTAATGATCATAATAATATCTATAGCAAAGATAACGATAAGCGAGATCCAGAGGGCAAAATAATTTTACTTATGAATCGAAAACAAAATCGATGAAGAATAAAATCTATTTATAAAAACAATCTATAGAAAATGAAATCTAGAATAAACAAGATCCCCCCCCCCTAAAGCACCCTCCCGCTCTTATCTTAATCCTGTGCCCCCTCCCCCCTCTCTCCTTCCCTTTAACTCTCTCCCCTTTCCTATTAATTGTCCCTCCTCGACCCTGTCTTCTCTTAATTTCCTTCCCCATTCCCCCATTCCTTCTCTCCCTCTTGTTCCTCTTACCTCAATCTCCCCTCCCCATGCCTATTACCTCAATCCCCTCCTCATTTTTCCTCATCCCCCTCCCCACCCATCCCTTCCCTCTCCCCCCTCTTACCACAACCCTTACCTCAACCCCCCTCTCCATCCCTTCTCTTCCCTCCCCTCTCCCCCTCCCCATCCCTCCCTCCCCCCCCTTCCCCATCCTCACCTTCACCCTATGCCCCATCATGGACATCTTATGCAGCGTCGGCTGGCGATTGAAGATGATCAGGTCCCCGTCCGTGATGTGGCGCTCGACCCGGTACCCGCACTGCAGATGGAGGTCAGAGGGCTTCGGGTGGTAGCGGAGGTCAATCCGAGCGCCGTTGTCCCTCACGATGTACTTGGCGCCGGGGTACTGGTTGTTGCCGCGTTTGACGAGCTCCATCATCCTGGATGAGGTGAGGGGGGATGGGGGGGTGAGAGGGGGGTGGGAGGGGTGGGGGATGGGGGGGGTAGGGGTGAAGGAGAGGGTTAGGCAGGGTAGGGGGGTGGGAGAGGGTAGGGGGGATGGAGGGGTAGATGAAAGGAGGGAGGGAGGGGAGGGAAAGAAGGTGGGAGTGGTGAGAAGGGAGAGGGAAGGAGGGTGGGAGAGGGTAGGAGGGTAGGAGGGGGAGAGGGTAGGGAGGATAAGAGGGGGGAGGGTAGGAGGGTAGGAGGGGGTAGGAGGGAGAGGGAAGGAGGGTAGGAGAGGGTAGTGAGGGTAGGGTGAGGGGTGGAGAGGGTAAGGCAGGATTGGGAGAAGGGGAGGAGATATGTCGAGGGAAAAGCAGGGTTGGGGGGAGGGGGAAGGAGAGAGGAGGGTGGAGAGGGAAGTAGGACATATGGGGGACGGGGTTGGATGGAGGGGAAGAGGGAAGGAAGGAGATGGAAGGGAGAAGAAGAGACATGAGAAAGAGGGAGATTGAAGCGAGAGGGGAGTGAGAAGGAAGGGAGAGGAAATGAGATAAGGGAGAGGGAAGGAGGAGTGGACGAGAGGAGATGGTAGGAGGGAAGAGAGAGAGGAGAGAGAGAGAGAGAGAGAGAGAGAGAGAGAGAGAGAGAGAGAGAGAGAGAGAGAGAGAGAGAGAGAGAGAGAGAGAGAGAGAGAGAGAGAGAGAGAGAGAGAGAGAGAGAGAGAGAGAGAGAGAGAGAGAAGGGAAGAGGGCAGTGGGAGTGAGACAGAAAGCAAGGAGAGGAAAGAGGTGAAGAGAAAGGTGGGGGGAGAGGAGTGAAGGAGAGTGAGAGGAAAAGAGAGAACAAAAATTAGTAAACAAACAGAAAAAGAAAACAGTTCAACGTTCAAGAAAAGAGAAAAATATGAGTAAACAGAAAAAAAACACAGTTTGATGTTATTCAACCGAAATGCGCTCAAAGTTTCGTGAAACCGACTTTTCTTAATCTGCAGTTTTATTTCTGAATCATACACATATATAACTGATAACAATGGATTTCAAAAGACCAGTACGATTGAACTTTCTATCTCCCCCTCCTCCTTTACAACTTCCTCTCCCCTCTCTTTCTCTTTCCCCTCTTTCCCTCTCCATTTCCCCATCCCATTCCTCCCTCTTAACCATTTGCTCTCCCTCTCTTCCTCCATTTCCTTCTTTCCCTCCCTTCTCCTCCCCTCCCCTCCCTCTTTCCCTCTTTCCCCTCTCCCTCCCCCTCCCTCTCCCTCCCTCCCCCCTCTCCCTCCCCTTCTCCCCTCCCTGCCCTCTCCCCTCCCTCCCCCTCCTCTTTCCCCTTCCCTCTCCCCTCCCCTCCTCTTTCCCCTTCCCTCCCCTCCCTCTTTCCCCTTCCCTCTCCCCTCCCCCCCCTCTTTCCCCTCCCCCCCTCCCCTTCCCTCTCCCCCTCCCTCTTTCCCCTTCCCTCCCCTCCCTATTTCTGCTCTTCCCTCCCCCTTCCCTTTCCCCTCCTCCTCTCCCCCGCGGTCCTCACTTGGTCATGTTGAAGGGCGTGACGATCTCCGGGTACGTGAGGTTCTGCGCGATGGACCTCGGCACGCCCACCTGGTCGATCCTGAGGTTGGGGTCGGCGGTGATGACGGTCCGGGCGGAGAAGTCGACCCTCTTGCCCATCAGGTTGCCGCGGATCCTGCCCTCCTTGCCCTTGAGGCGCGACTTGAGGGCCTTGAGCGGCCGCCCGGACTTCTGCAGCGCCCTGGGCATGCCGGGCATGTCGTTGTCCGTCATGGTGGCCACGTGGAACTGCAGCATCTTGAGGTTCTCGACGATGACGTGCGCGGCCGCCCCGCTCTGCTCGTTGCGCAGGAGCTCGTTGTTGGCCTTGATGATGTCGGAGAGCTTGTGCGTGAGGTCGTCCTGGTTGCGCGCCGAGCCGTACATCACGACGGCGGGGCGCACGGGCAGCGGGGGCACGGGCAGCACCGTCAGGATCATCCAGTCGGGGCGCGCGTAGCGGGGGTCCATGCCCAGCAGGTAGCAGTCCTCGTCTGCGGGAGGCGAGGACGGGGGGTGAAGGGCGGCCACAGGGATCTGGGGGCTCAAGATGGCTGTGAGATTTCTGGAATATGGCGGATTTATTTCCATCGTCGCTCGCCGGGAGCCATCCACCCACACCATCCACTCATCCCGACTCGCTCACCCCGATCCACTCCTCGCACCCTCCCACCCGCACCCTACCACTCCTCCCCCTCCCCTCCCCTCCCCCTCCGCCCACCGACCTGAGATGTGCTTGAAGATCTCGTAGACCCTCTCGGCCGACAGGACCTGCTTCTTCTCCTGCGTGTCCTCGTTGACGTGCTTCCACTCGGCGATCAGGTCGAGTCCCACCCTCTTCACGTTGGGCTGGTACCGCCCGCAGCCCCCGTGGCCGCCCGTGTTGGCCTTCCGGAGCTGGGCGGTGTGCTGGGCGGGGTTGTGGGCGGGGTGCTGGCCGGCGTCCTCGGGCTCCTTGGCGATGTCCACCTCGTCGCCTCCCTCGCAGATCATCTTGCCCTTGCACAGGTTGTAGACGTGCAGGAGGCGCTTCCGGGGCTGGCCCTTGGACTTGGTCACGATCTCGCGGACTTTCGGGTGTTGCTGGGGGGGGAAGGGGGGGGGGGAGGGGAGGGGAGGGAGGGGAGAGGGAGGGAGAGGGGAGGGGAGGGGAGGGGGAGGAGAGGGGGAGGGGGAGGGGAGGGAGAGGAGAAGGAGTAGGAGAGAGGGGAGGAGGAAACGAGGTCAAAAATCAAGTTTAATAGAATTTTTGTTGGATATTAAGGAGAGAGAGATAAAGATAAAGAAAGATAGATAGATAAATATATAGATCACAATCACCCCCCCCCCAAATTTTTTTGACGAACGTAGAAAAGGTATAAACGAGAATGAATATTTACTACAATACAAAAGATACATTCTACATACAATAAATGACAGACGCCACAAGAACCCGCCAATCACACACCCCTAATTCATGAATCATCACCATCATTAAAAAAAAAACTCCCCAAAAAAAACACTAAAATTAATTAAAATACTAAAATAAAAAAATATCAAAATAAAATAAATAAATCAAAATAAAATAAAAAAAAAAACATCACCATCATTAAAAAAAAAAAAAACCCTCACCGTATTATAAAGCAACTTGCTACAATAGAAACACACGCAGCGCAGAATCTTCATGGTCTTGGTGAGGAACCCGACGTGGTAGACGGGTTTGGCCAGATCCATGTGGCCGAAATGACCCGGGCAGTCGGCCATGTTGCCAGCGCATGTGGTGCAGCGGGTGTTCCTGTCCAAGCAGCCCTGTCGGGGGTCCATGAGGCCGCCCAGTTTCGGCCGCCCGTTCTCGTACACCTCGGAGAACATGATGCCGCCCTCGGTGACTGACATGCGACGCTGCGGGGGGGGGGGGGGGGGGGGGGGAGTATGATGATATAAGAGAGAGATAGATAGATAGAGAGAGAGGGAGAGAGGGAGGGAGGGAGGGAGAGAGGGAGGGAGGGAGGGAGGGAGGGAGGGAGGGAGAGAGAGAGAGAAAGAGAGGAGAGAGAGAGAGAGAGAGAGAGAGAGGAGAGAGAGAGAGAGAGAGAGAGAGAGAGAGAGAGAGAGAGAGAGAGAGAGAGAGGGAGAGGGAGGGAGGGAGGGAGGGAAGGAGAAGGGAGAGAGAGAAGAGAGAGAGAGAGAGAGAGAGAGAGAGAGAGAGAGAGAGAGAGAGAGAGAGAGAGAGAGAGAGAGAGAAGAGAGAGAGAGAGAGAGAGAGAGAGAGAAGAGATGAAAAGAAAAAAGAGACAGAAGAGACAGACAGACATTTAGAGAGAGAATTTCTCCCCTACCCAGTAAATAATAAACAATAATAATAACAATAATAATGATAATAATAACAATAATAAAGATAACATTAAAACACTCACGATTTCGTCCGGACTAAGAATACCAAACTGGACTCTCCTGACTGGCCGTAGCGGCGCCTTACTCTCCAAGCCCGCCATCTTGTCGAGGGCGGCCTGCATCTTGT